GAGTGTTTCGACGAGGACGAGGAGGAAAGTGTGGAGGAAGGGGGCGTCCGGTGTCGTTTCTTAAGCAGAGAGGCCAACTTGGCTTTCTGACGATCCATGCCTAGGCCAAACACATCTACAGTATGAAAGGCATGTTGAGAAGCACGGGAAGAGATGAAGTAAGGGTTAAAATGCTCGCCACCAAGATCGTCAAAGCATATGGCCATGAAACCACAAGCTTGCGGGAGTGAGAGCGTGGAGCGGATGACATGGCTTTAGGCAAGCAGTGTGATCAATTTATGCATACACATGAAAACAAGGTCTTAGGCCCTTGTGGAGTCCCATTTAGATCCAGGGATGAAGGCGCGCGATGTATGTACCCGTCGAAGTCCTGAGTGAGGTTTGTGTCTAGTAAAAGTAGTGGCATCGCTCAAGAGGTTGCACAGGAAGGCCTTTGCTCAGGGCGAGGGTTACTCGTTTGTGTGACTTGGCGGGCCAATACAACCTGACAATCCTTTCCTTTACTACAACGGATGTAACAAACATGCGTGCGTGTGCAGAGGAGGGTTGTTACATGGCCGTCCCCCTTTTTGATTCTCATGCTCTTTGTTCCCCCTCCGGCCAGATCTACTACGTGGCTCCGACATCCATGAAGCTGTCCAGCATGTTCACCCTGCCTGCTACCTCCTTGCTTCTCACTGTCCTCGTGGGAGCGCCCTGCCTTTCGCACGCCTACATCCGGCCTTTGCACATGTCCCAAAGCCAGCCCCAGCAGTCGATGTCCCAGCCGGCGGCGTCCTCCCCTTCCACCTCCTCCGCGACCTCCCCTACCTTTCTTGCTGGCATTGACCGTCGTAACCTATTGACCAAAGGCTTTCTGGGGGGTGCCGCGGCTGCTTTCACTGGCACATTTACGTTGACCACGGGAGCCCAAAAGGCTGGCGCAGACGTACCTGCGGAAGGGATTGAGGCACCTGATTTTTCCCTTCCCTCTAGCTTGGGGAAGCCTTTGTCTTTGGCAGATTTGACGAAAGGCGGCAAATACACTGTGCTTTACTTCTTCCCTCAGGTCTTCACAAGCTCCTGCACACTGGAGGCGAAGGCGTTTCAGCGCGACATTGACAACTACAAGAAATTGAACGCCCAGATCGTGGGTGTCTCGGTGGACGAATCGGACAAACAAACAGATTTTAAATCCGAGTGCGGCCTGGACTTTATTCGTACGTACCAGAATCTGAAATAAAGGGATGGGAGGAGGTGGGAGAGATGAGGTGCCGGGGAGAGGAGGTCGACCAGGAGTAGGAGATCAAAAGTTTAGGTAGGACCTTCGCCCGGTGAGAGGAACTGTCAAGGGGACGCGTGTATGCAAATGGACGTAGCTTGCCATGGAAAAGGGATGGGAACGCTCATCATGCTACCCATTGAAGAACACGTTTCTCCTCCTCTTTCTCCTCCCTGTACGACAGTGCTCAGTGACAAGGGCGCCAAGGTCTCGGAGGCCTACGGGTCCGCGCTGGACATTCCTTTCTTGGGCCGCTTCTCGAACCGCCAGACGTACATCATCTCTCCGGTACGTGGATAGTCGGACGTGTCCATGCGTCGTGTGCTGTGTCCGGTGCTGCCGTGTCAGGGAGAGGGGTTGGGGAGGATTAGATGGAATCGTTAATGGATCCGACGTAGCACTATCGAAACCGCGTTTCCACCTGCTCTGTACGCCGCACGCTGGTTACCTGAGTGGAAATTTGTAGCGTGCACCTACTGAAGGCGGCTCCTATCTCAATGCACCTCCATCAGGATGGGAAGCTGGTCAAAGTCTTCACAAACGTGGAGTCGAAGGTGAAGAAGCATTCTGAAGAGGTCTTGGAGGCCTTGAAGGCACTGCAAGCTTGAGGACCTGCCACTATAGAATTCTCTTTTGAGGGATGTACGGCCGTGGGTCGTGCCATCAGGGGACTTCAAGCTGGAAAGCCGCCACTGGAAGGAAGGGATGTGGTGGGAATGGGGGAGGGGTAAATCGGACAAGGATGGTCTTATGGTTTGAAATCCTGGCCGGAATCGTGTGGAAGGGCAATGACCCGATCCAATGTGTGCTCAGTGGTTTCTAGAATTACTACGTGATGATTTTTTCCCCCTGCATTCGATTTAGAGACACCTGGGTATGAAAACGCAAGAGGTGGACCTGGATGTATACGTATCTATTTTCCTATCAACAAAGGGCGTGGATGTGGGAAAGAAACAACTACAACCTCCTGAAGCGAACAGAGCTATTCTCGCAGGATCAGGTCTCTTGCGTTTGCCCGTCCTTTGTGTCCCAACAGCGGAAGTCCTTGGAGCGTACAAGGGAGACGAGACTCGGCGTGTCTCCGCGTTTTTTTACCAAATATTTTCATGCCATTAAAAATTCTTGTCCTTCGAATCCGCCGGCCACTGTAAAAAGAGCCCTGAGATTTTTGATATGCAATGCTTTTTTTTGATATGCAATAACTATGCCGCCACGACGTGATAATATGGGCCAACTGCCGGGGGCCGTTGTCAAGCACGTTCCCATCAGACAGGTGGAGAAGCGTGCGAGGTACATACGCTGGAAAGTTTGGCTTTGTGGTACATGTCTAATGATCAAATCTCATTGAAAACTTTATGCTGCGATGTATTGTGCTGCTCCATGGAGTTTTATGTCTGTTTTACCTCCTCTATGCTTGAACCTCCTCGCAAGACTGTTAAATTTCTTTCCTTTTCCGACAGGAGCTTCGAAATGGAAGATGAACCAGAATTCTATAGTACAAAAGACAAATCAAGAAAAGTTCGAAGCAAAGTACGATATTTGAAGCAAGGACACAAAAAATCGCAGTCAATCTCTCCACTCGACAAACAAGTCGAACCAGAAGAACCCTTGGCAAACTATCGAAATACGTCAATACAAGCGCTGTGTACACTTTTCTCGAAATGTTACGCTGATAAGAATGTGAATGACAACCGATCAATAACAGAGCGGGAAAAAATACGTCTTCGCAATTTAGCAGAGGACATAGAGCGGGCAATTTTGGCCCAACATGGCGACTTTACCGATCCTAATCATCCCACGCGGGAATACGGCAATCAAATAAGGACATTAAGATACAATGTCGCGAACAATCAGAGCCTGCAGACTAGAATAATCATGGGTGAGCTGAGTCCCACAGCTGTGGCGCGTTTGACTCACGAGGAGATGCTGACGAAGACTGCGCGAGATGAGCAACATGAGAAAGAGGCCAGGGCCTATGATCTCTTGAGATTGGACAGAAATCTTGCTCCTCAGGTGACAAGAAATGAAAAAAACACTGTAGCCTATTTTGAATGACACATCTTACGCGATGAGAATTCTAGCCTTCGTGCCCGCTTATCCTGCATCGTCCATTTCAAAACACCCTTTATAATCCTCCCCCTCCAGGTAGAAGAAGAACTCGCAGCCCGAGAGCAAAGCGGAGTTGTGTGCTCCGTGTGTGGCTTGGAGAAGGTGGCGTTGGTGCATCGATACAACGCCTTGGAAGAGGAGCAACAGCGCAAGGTGGAGATGGCCTGCAACGCGTGCGGCGCGGCCGTGGTACGAATAGGATGAAGGAGGAGGGATGAGAGAGGCATAGAGGTACGGGTCAAATGAGCGAAAATTTGGCAGAATAAAGAGAAAACCAATACCAATCAAAGAAAATCGAACGTGGCAATTGATGAAGAGACAGGGCGATATCGAGGAGCTTTCGTTGTGAAGGTATAGTCATGGGTTGACTCTCCGGGCCGCCCACGCGTCCGACTCGTCCACACCCTCCCCACGAATTTCTATACCGTCTGGTTGCTTGTTGATGCTCCACTGAACTGTCTCGTGCACGGTTCGCACTTGAGGGTTCGGGCGCAGCTGCAAGTGATCGACACTGAAAGGATGGAATAAAAGCAACACAAAGGTTTCAGGCGGCGGGGAGGTGCCAGGCACCGGAGGAGGGTTGTATAACGCCTTCCTGGTGTCCTCACTGATGCCATCGGAGTCCTGGTTCAGCCCAGGGGCAGGCCAAGAAAATTGCTTTCGCGCGTTGTCAGAGAGCGCGGCCCATTGGTCATGACGCGCTACGGCCAGCACCGGATCCAACTCGTCCGCCGTCACGAGTTGGCACCTCCCTGCAAGACGAAATTGCTCCCGTGTTTGAATGAAGTACCAAGATATCTCCCCGTAAGGATTTTGAAGGATCTCCTTGATCTTTTCGCTCCGACTGTCCGTGATCACCTTGAAGGTGGTGGTATTCTCGTTTAAGAAACCCCTGAAGACGACCCAGCGGACACGAGGGCGAAGAAGGCCTTGTGGCGATATATTCTCACTGACATCCGTAGTCTCTTGCTTTGCAAACGAGAAGTGAGCTATGGTAGCCAGTTGCACAAAGCGAGAGTGCATATCGGCTTTATTTGCCTCAAGTGCATTGTTCAGCGCGTGGACCCATGGCGGCTGTGACGCGGATGCGACTGTCTCGCGGGGATCGGATTGGTCATTCTTGCTTACGACACATGTACCGCCGATATCACGTAATCCCTCATTACTTCCCGCAGTCGGGGTGGCGGCGGCCATCAGGATTAGGGATTTTGAAGACCAGCAACAGAAAGGAAAACCAGCGGTGGTGCCGGAAATGAGGGTAGCGACGAGCAGGAAAAATTTACAAAGCCCGCTGTAAGATGGGAGGTACACATTTAAAATCTCAATTAGTTCTCCATGCCGTTCACGTGCTTGCGACGGGCCAAAACAAGGCATTGGGAAGCGATCGCGTGGGGGGGAGGTTAAAGGATTTACCTGCCCCGGACTGGGTGTCGACTATAAATTAGATGAATGGGCATGCAAAAGCCCGCTTGCAGACTAAAGACTTAGGGTATGGACATGGTAATGGTGTGGTTGTTGATCATGGAATGCTACTGCGCTACTGTTGGCGTCGACACATCGCCGGCGACGACTGTCTTTTCAGTTAGCTTCTGATTTAGAATAGCCACTAATCTGACTATCTTAACGCATGAAATACAGAAAATGGCCGTATCATCCTCCGCCAGAGTAGACTCACGGAGTACGGACGGCCTTGTTCTTTTGTCTCAAGGTGCTGAGGCCCGAGTTTTCGAGTTACCCTCTTTTTTGGGAGGTCGCCCCGCTATAGTCAAAGAGCGATTTGCCAAGTCTTACCGCCTTCCTGTCTTGGACGCGAAACTGACAAAACAGCGCACTGTGGGAGAGGTGCGATGTATGTTACGGTGCGCGAAGGTAGGGGTACACGCTCCCTGTGTCTATATGGTCGACATGCAAGCATCCAGAATTTACATGGAGAGAATAGAAGGCCGCTCCTTTAAGGCATTTTTACGCGACCACTTTAATGATGCAACGCGTTCGTATACGCCCGCAGCACACGAATTGGCCGATGAGCTTGGAAAAGTGGTAGCAAGAATTCACGATGCCGAGATGGTACACGGGGATTTGACCACATCAAATGTTATGGTCATGGGCGAGGAAGACGGAAAAAGCAAGGCACAAGACGTAAGTCATCGGCTCGTGGTGATTGATTTCGGCCTAGGTTTTTTGCAACCCCTGCCTGAAGACAAAGCTGTTGACCTCTACGTACTCGAACGGGCATTTCTTTCAACGCATCCCAATTCTGAGGAATTGGTAGATCGTGCAATGGCTGCCTACGCGAGACACTCATCGAGCCATCAGTCGAAGGCAGTTTTGAAAAAATTAGAGGACGTTCGTCGGCGAGGTCGAAAACGTGATATGTTTGGTTGATTTCAAGGAAATTTTCTTGTAAAACCGTGTACACTGAATAAAGAAAGAAAGAAATGCAACTGCCACATTCGGGAAGCGAGGTGCTAAGGGAGGAGGTCCGTCGTTGACTTGTTGGATGAAAACTACAGCAGCTGCTTCCGTTTCCTTGATTTTTAAATGCGCCGTTGTTCGTTAATACCAATCTTTCTGTATGAATGATTGGTTTACACCTAAAAGGGCAGCCCTTCGACCTAAGGCAGACCTCCTCCCGATAACCACCCTTGATTAGCACATAAGGAGCTCCTTTCGTTATTTTCCTCATGCAGAGGGACCATTCCCCGATACACGCTGGTCACAATAAGATAGCATTGTGGACCTCCAGGACGGCTTATGAGTTTTTTCTCGGGCCCGCACACGTGTGTGTATGCATGGGGGCTCTATCGATACCACTTCGGCCCATTCTGCCCGGTGGGTCGATATGCCGTCATCACACAGCCCCTAGTTAATCGACGGGCTGATCGTTGCCAGTATCGAGCACGCGCACCGTGCGCTCTGCTTTTTCTTGTGGCCCCTTCTCCAGATTTCATCTGTCACTTGCATGTTTCCTCGCAGCATTGCGCGGTTGGAATGGATGTAAAAGACGCAGGGAGGATCCCTCGGTTTAAGGATGGGGTCTCAGCCCCCGTGTGATCTCTTTATAGCTATATTTACATGTCTCCTTCCCATTACATTTTCGAATATAGCTTATTATAGGATGGAAGAGAATAGCCTGGATAACTTTGAAACAAACCGTGGGGTGGAGAGGTCTGCAGCAGACAGTAGCAGTAGCGACAGCAGCAGCAGTAGCGACAGCAGCAGCAGTAGCGACAGCAGCAGCAGTAGCGACAGCAGCAGCAGCAGTAGGGACAGCAGCAGTAGCAGCAGCAGCAGCAGAAGCAGGAGGAAAAGTAGCAGCAGCAGCAGCAGCAGCAGCAGCAGCAGTAGAAGTAGCAGGAGGAGGAGGAGGAGGAGGCACAGTATTGGTCGCAGCCGGAGTAGCAGCAGCAGCAGTCGGAGGAGGAGGAGGAAGAGAGGCAGAGGAAGTCGATTGCCTCCTCGCCGCGAAGGGAAGAGGCATGGTAGGGTTTGCTCTCCGAAGGGGTACGAGGACAGAGGGCGAGACAGGGAGAGGACTTGGGAGAGGACGAGCAAGAGGTCATTGAAGGAGGGGAGACGAAGCCGGAGCGTGGATGGAGGAAGAGGGGTGTCAAAGTACGGGAGGGCAGAGAAGAGAAAGGACCACAGCCGGAGTCGGAGCAGAGAGAGGACTGAGAGGCAAGATAGAGGACATCGAAGGGAGGGAAGGGAGCGAAGTAGTCGAGGGAGGTATGGAGGCCGGAGCCGGAGTCATAGCCTGGAGAGGGCTGAGAGGAGGAGAGGACGAGGGAGGGAACGAGGGCGGGATGGAGGGCGGGAGGAGGAAGGTGGCCGGGGCGCCAGAGTCCACAGGGATGCTCGCGCCCACCCCCGCAACGAGTCCTTCATTGCAGGCACACAGACGCGGAGACGGGCGGACGAGGCGGAGGGAAGGGCTGGGGAAGGTAGGAGGTACGGGCAGGAGGCGCGTCGACGGGTCGATGGACCGTCGGGCTCGCCCTCTCGAGACTCCTCCGCCCCCGAAGGCCGTCGCATGCCCCCCTCCCAAGCGTCAGGGCCCAGTGCCCCTTTCTCTCCTTCCTCCTCGGCCGTGCCTCCGAAACGGTCGGGCATTTTCCAGTACCTGCGGGAGGTTGCGGGGGTATCGTTGCCCTCTCTGGTCACGGAGGCTGGCAAGGCGGCGAACCGGGAGAGCGGGGTCCGAGGCCACGGGGCAGGGACGCGGATGGAGAAGGCGGGAGGGATCGGAGGGAAAAAAAGCGATGGGGAAGGAGGAGGAGGAGGGAGGCGGCTGGAAGGAGGGGAGGAGGTGCGGGACGGGTACTCCCGAGGCCTGCGGGCAGACCGGGCATCGGAGAGGAAGAAGCCCTACCAGTGCGACCGTTGTGAGGCCTCCTTTGGGATCGCCCCCGATCTGAGCGAGCATTTTCACCGGTTGCACGGGGTTACCAAGCACCCCAGCCAGATCGTGCCCACCGCGGTGATCTTCTAGAAGGGCGGTTCCCAAGCAGCCACCGGACCCGAGGCCAGGTCTTCCTCCCCACGGGCATCGCCATTTGGAAGTCCTGTCGTGGTCCAAGCTTCTGTATCGCGCGGAGTGAAATGCCTGGGAGAGAGAGGCATGAGAGTGGCGGGCAGGTCCAGTCTTGTGGCACGCCTGTTCGGTGTTGAGGACACGGGAAACCGCCTAGGCCACCGGGAGAGAGGGAGAACGTCTAGTCTGATGGGAAAGAGGGAATGTCATGAGTCTGATGGTAGAAGGGGAAACGTTTAGTCCGATAAACCACAGGGAAAACAACTTGCCCGACGGGAGGGACAGCCACGCGGACGACGAGGGAGGTCCGTCCCTGCCCCCACAAAAAAATATTTTTATTCGCTGCGGGGTGTGCGAGAACGACGCTCCCATTCAATGACTATCTATCGTACATTGCTTATTCTTTCTCGTGATGTTCACCCCCCTGCCTTATCATTTCCTGGAAAACTTCCTGATGTCCTTTTCGACCTCTTTTTGCAGGGCCCCCATGAAGCGTCCTATCAACCCCACGTGCTTCTCCGCCTCTTTGGCCAGCTTCCCCGAATGTTCCACGCCTGTGGCTTTCACTTTGTCCACGTGGTCCGCCGTGCGAAGTGCGAACCGTTGGAATGCTCGGTTGTTGGCAAGACCTTTGACGATGAGCTCGTTCGCTATGTAGTTGGCTATCCGGAGGAAAAATTGCGACATTGATAGACGTGAACCCGCTCAACTGTGTTGCTTTTCAGTAAAAATGGCAGTGATGACAGTGCAAGACGTAGCGAAGCACCTGAATTGGAATGTACGGTCACTGGCGTGGCCTCGGTGTCCTCGATCGCGGTGCAATCTCTGCGTGCCCAGCCTATCTTTGCGGCTCCCGTAGCGCCTAGCATCTATGAAAAAATGCGAAAGGCACGTGAGTATGACAGAGAGGGAGCATTTAACCAGAACAAAACGTTCTACCCCCCCCACACACGTCAAAATGTTTGTGACACGGGCGCCATCAGGACGGGAAGAGCCCCCTCCACCTAGCAGGATGCCCTCCTCGCCGACCCCGCTATTCGCTTTCTTTTTTTCCGCAGTCCACGTTGTACTTGTCTGTGTGATGTGAAAATTCGCGTGCTACAGTACCTCATCAGGTTGGTCGCTGTCCCAGCCTGGTCAGGTCCGTGGGAAGAAATCGACAGGGTGCTCACCGCACATCCCTTTACCATAAGGGAATAACCGCATTATTGAACCCTGCTTGTCTTGTTACATTTCTTGTTCACCTCGTTGCCTCTTTTTGGCCACACATCGCAGGCAAAAAACCTCGCAAGACTACGGACACCCTTCCTCTCCTCAGGGCGCCACCAAGGGCAAAAACAAGCCTCCTCATGGAAGCGTTTTGTCCCCGTTCAGTCATGTTTTGACCGCGCACGTAGCAAGTGGAGGAACGTCTGGGGAGGGCCATTCCTCTCGAGAAGGAGTGTCGCCCGTCCATTCTGCCGAGCACGTACTGTCACAAGCTAGACCATGATACAGGAACCTGATGCCACGCCCAGCAATGACAACTCTGCTGACCTTTTGCTTCGCTTCCTCCCCGCTGGCAAAGCCTCGGCGGAGAGCGACCTCCCTCACCTGCCCTACGCCCCAAGCGGTGCTTCCCCGCCCCGTTTCCATCCTTCCTCCCACTCGTTCCCGACGACGAAACCCCGCAAAACATTGCATTGGGCCATGGCCGGCCTCATCCTCTTCTCTTTCACTGCCCCGGGCGCCCTGGTCAGCGTGCCTTTCGCCGTCGGGACCACGGGCTACGTCTTGAGCCTCCTCATCTTGAGCCTTTTCACCGCCGCCACCATCGCGGGCTGTCTGATGCTCTTGGAGATATACCAATGCAACCCCTACTGCCAAAATCTGCCGGAGTTGGGCGCCGTGGCCATGGGAAGCGTGCGGGGCCGACGGCTCGCGGCGACGGTGCAACTCAGCAACTTCGTCGGCTTCCTGCCCGTCTCGCTCACCATCAACGCCCTGGCCTTGCAAGGGACTCTGGGCGTGGCGCCTGAGCATTCCTGCCTGGATTACTATATCCTCGGCATCAGCGTGCTCTGCCTCTTGAGCACTCAGGCCCGGGCGCTCTCCAACACGCAAGCCCTCTCCCTCCTCTCCCTCACCGCCATCCTGGCCGCGGGGGCCATCCAGCTCGGCGTCGCCTTCTCCCCCTCCCTTATGCCACCCCTACCGTCCTCCCCGTCCTCCTCCGCCCGCATGTTCGGCCATCCTCTCCTCCCCCACGCCTCCCCCGCCACGGAGGTCGTGCGCACCCTCCTGGGCGTCACCTGCATGGCTTGGTCCTTCGTGCCCTGCTTCCTGGTCGTCGAACTCGCCTCCGCCATGCCCGCGCCCCACCACTTCCCTCGCGCCCTTTTTCTGGCGGCGGGCCTTCTCTTCCTTCTCTTCTTGGGCGTGGGCTTTCCGTTGGTGCATCGGTGGGGGTGGGACCTTCCCGACCCCTCCTACGCCCTCCCGGCGTGGCCGGCCGCCGCCTCCGTTTCACGCGTCATGCATGCCCTTGTCCTCCTCGCCAACCTGGTCTCTTACACCCTCGACTCCGTGCCTCTCGTCCGCTACTGCCAACGGGTCTGGCGCCCGCGCTTCAACCTCCAAGATTGGTCCCCCCGGGCGCTTGGCCTCTACCTCCTCCTCAGCCTGCCCTCCTTCCTCTTCGGTGTCCTGGCTGCCCTGGTCGTCGGGAACCTCCTGGCCCTTCTCGCCTTTGTCAGCGCCTTGTCCGTGCCATGGGTGACGCAGATTCTTCCCGCGCTTTTTTACCACTCGTGGCGCCGGCGGCTTTCCTCCGCCTCCTCCCGCTCCTACGC